GGGGGGGCTGGATCACTCGAGGTCAGGAGTTCGAGACCAGCATGGCTGACGTGGAGAAACCCCATCTCTACTAAAAATACAAAAATTAGCTGGGTGTGGTGGCGGGCACCTGTAATCCCAGCTACTTGGGAGGCTGCAGCAAAAGAATCACTTGAACCCAGGAGGCAGAGGTTGCAGTGAGCCAAGATTGTGCCACTGCACTCTAGCCTGGTGACAGAGTAAGACTCTGTCTCAAAAAACAAAAGGAAGGATTTACTATTGATAACAACTAGAAAAAACACTATTTCTGCATTTGTGTCACTGTTGGTGCTATCAGTGGCCCAAAGGCCAGTGAGGTGGACCCAAGTGAGGCATGGACCTCCAGACTCCGTGCCGGGGAGGCAATTGGCAGGAAGTTGCAAAATCTGACTTGGGGTAAGAACGTGGTTAAACACCACTGAGCCAGGCAGCAGGCAGGCTCCCCTGGCCGCGTGCCTCTGACCACCGTGTCCCCAGAGCCCAGGAAGGGGAAACGGAAGCCTGCGCATCAGAAACCCAAGGCTCCCACTGCCATGACTATGGGCTGAGTCACCACGGCAGAGAAAAAGCCCCTCGCTGGGTCCCTCCCTCCCCACACCCAGCTGACCACAGAAATCACTGCCTGTCAGAGCAGCAAGGGAGCTGAGCAGGGGGAGGCCCAGTGTTCATCCCTACAGCACAGCTGCCTGGACAGGGACGGGGGACTGTGGGAGTCTCATCCCTGCATTTCAGGGACCAGAAGTCAGGCAGAAGGGACAGGAGCAGGGTGGATGTTCCAGCCAGGTCAGCATGCAGAGCCCTGGGTGGGGGCTGCCCACCTGGGCCAGAGGAGGTGGTCCCCCCCACCGCCCTGCAACTCCAACAGCCTCTGAGGAGGGCAAGATCTCCTAAAAACCGAGTTTTGGCTGGAAAATCTGGATGGTGCGTTACCTGCAGGCTCCCCCACAGGGAGAGGGAAGTTTCATTCTGCACGAACCAACTGAGGTATGCAGGGCGGGGCCACTTGCCAGGTGGCAGGAACGTGAGACAGCGGGGCTGGGGAGAGGCCAGCCAGCCTTGAGCCCTGGGGCTCGCTCTTTCTGCACACCCAGCTGCTGAGTGTGGCAAGTTTCAGGGTCGCCCCTCCTGAGCTCTTCCCACGAGCTCAGCTCTTAGGGACTGAAGCGTGCTTTCACACTCCCCAAATTCATACACTGAAGTCCTAACCCCCAGTACCTCAGAACATGATAGTATTTGGATCCAGAGTCTTTTTCTTTTTGGAGAAGAGTCTCACTCTGTCACCCAGGCTGGAGTGCAGTGGTGCAATCTTGGCTCACTGCAGCCTCTGCCGCCTGGGTTCAAGCCATTTTCCCACTGTAGGCTCCTGAGTAGCTGGGATTACAGGGGTTCCCCCACCATGTCCGGCTAATTTTTTAATTTTTAGTAGAGACGGGGTTTTACCACGTTGGCCACAAACTCCTGACCTCAAGAGATCCACCTGCCTCAGCCTCCCAAAGTGCTGGGCTTACAGGCGTGAGCCACCATGCCCGGCCTTGGTCCCAGGGTCTTAAAGAGGTAAGTTAAACCAAGAGAATTACCATGGGCCCAAATTCAATACAATTAGTACCCTTAAAAGAAAAGTACATTTCTTCTTGAAAGAAGAGAAGACACGGGCACGCAGGGGCATGAGCCTGTGAGGACTCAGGGAGAAGGCGGCCGGCCACCAGCCAAGAAGAAGGGGCTGGGAGAAAGCAGCCCTGCTGACACCTTGACCTCGCCTCAGGCCTCCAGCGGGGCGAGAACAGACTCCTACTGTGTAGCCGCCCGGTCTGTGGCATTCATTATGACAGTCTTGGGAAACTGAGGCCCCAGCCCTGGCTGAGGCTACACACACATCAGCTCACTGAATCCTCGACCCACTGTGCCCTACTTTTCCCAGAGAAAGAACTGAGGCTCGGAGAGGCAGTTACTGCTCGAGGCGACTCAGCTAGTGGACGGCAGAGCGGGGCTTGAACCCAGGACCAGCTGACTCTAGCCAGACCTGGAGACCTTCCAAGAAAGGAAATGGCATTCCTCGCTCCCAGCAGCAGACAGAGGGGGACCATGGTCAGACAGGAAGACCTCTGTACCCCAGGCCCAAACAGAGGACCCGGCATAGCCAGTGCCCAGCTGCCTGCTGCCACCCCCCAGCTGCTCCAGGAATGCAGGATGTGAAGGGGGCCTGGGACCGCTGGTGTCTGCCCAGCTTGGCCTCCTTCCCCCCACCCCCCACTTCCTGGCAGCCCCTGGAGTGAGCAATTCCAGGCTCCACAAATTCCAAGCCCAGCCTCCGAGACGGAGGAAGCAGAGAACTTTCTCACAGTCTGTGGGGTGGAAGGAAGGCCTGAAACCAGCCTCGTCAGCTCCCAGCCTGGGGTGAAGGGGCCCCCCGGCAGGACACCTTCCTGGCACAGGACACCCCTTCATTCCCCGGCCCAGCAGCTCTCCTGGGCCTCCCTCTGCTCCACTACACCCTAAACACAAGAATCCCCCCATGGCCTCCCCGCTGAGCGCTCACTGTGCGTGCCAGGCTCACCGCCAAGAGCTCCACGCAGACCAGCTCTTCCCAATCAACTCTCCAGCTCGAGCTTATCATCATCCACACCGCACACATGGGGACTGAGGGTGGCCCCCCCTACCTTGCTCTGTGCCCACCCCTTCCCTATCTGGCCCACTCTGTCAGGCCAGGTCGGCCGTTAGCCTTGGAAACCTTGAGGAATGGCACCAAGCCAGGGGCTGGGAAGGCGGAGAGCCCTTGGCCAGGCAGCCAGAGCCTTGAGTGCCTCCGCCCAGTCCCAGCCCCAGCCCACAGCACCCGGGACCGGGGAACAGGAGGCCCTTTGTGGGCGGCTGGGCCCAGGTGGCAGGGGCCGGCCTGGCTGAAGACCTGGCTTGGCAGAGGCCAGACAGGGCAGAGGCAGCTCTGGAGAGGCGAGCAGGAGGAGTGGGGTGAGCCAAGGCCTGCGGCAGCAGCTTAGAGGCCACTGGAGCCCTGCAACCTGTCCCCTGCAACCTTCCACCTCTGTACCGTGTGGCACTGCACCCAAGGGTGGAGCGGGGGCACGTGCCTCCCTCAGGCCAGATCACCAGGAAGCAGTTCAGGGTCCAGGACTGCGTTGCTCCTTCCCCAGGGCACCACCCTCACCTTGGAAGACCATCCTCAGCCTTCCTGATCAAATTCCTTAGAGGCCTTCAAGACTCTTCCAGACCTGACCCCAGAGGCCCCCCTCGAGCCCCATTTCAGGTCATCCCCTCCCCGCTTCAGGTCCTTGTACAGTTCCTCCTCCAGGCCTACTCCTACCACCTGTGGCTCTCCTTTCATGCTGGCTGCCTGGCATACTCCTCCCCTCTCCTCTACGAAGGATGTGATGGGCCCAGGCATCTCCTCCTTCAGGACTCAGCTGAAGCTGAACCATAACCTCCTCAAAGGAGCCTGCCCTGACCAACCCTTCCCCCAACACACACACCTCAGGGCTCCCGGGGTGGCTCTGCCCAGCAACCAGCATAGCTGTGAGCCGTCACCCCAGCAACCTCATCTGTCTAGCATCTGTCTCCCCTACCAGACTGCCAACTGCATGAGGGCAGGGAATGTTTCTTGTTGCACCCCAGTGCCTAGATCTGGGGCTTCTGAGTAGATACTAAAAAATGTCTGCTGAATAAATGAGTGACCTGGAAGAGTCACCTCCTAAGTTTACAGATGAGAGCAATGAGGCCCTGAGGGAGACTGTGAGGTTTCCAAATCACCCTGCTGGTTGGTGGAGAAAAAAAAAAAAAA